TCCTCGAATCTATAGCAAAATTAATGAAAAATCACCTTTTTATTTACGTGATATTTCGGCCAACAGACCATTATCAAACGAAAGAAAGAACAATGTAGAAGACAAAAACGGTTACAGCAGACAGACGGCAGCCTATTTTCATATTTCGAAATTCATCTCGCGGTATTTGTTTACATAAGACTTCAATGGAAGAACATCCTTGGTTATGCTAAGATGTTTCCGATGTACCGTACACACATACATAAAACGAGCGATAAAAAAACGAGATAAAATCAGGACATATAACTCATCATAACACTTTTTGACATTCGATACGATCGATGACTCGAATTCACACGCTGCATACGCTATCTTACACACTTATATGATAGGCCAAGACACAAGACGTTCGTTCAGGGAGGGCTCCGAATCTCTGATAGTGATGGACTCTGCTATCTTTCTGTCTGGGTAGTCCAGAGCCTGGTGCAGTATCTCCACCGTAAGTGGTAGATCCGCCCCTCTGTCTAATGACAGCTGACCGTGAGCCACTCTAAAGTGGTCTCCGAGGGGGGTGTCGGGAGTCGCACTCAGCATGTTCCTCACATGCTCGTTAAAACGCAGTCTGACAGGACGTTTGCTCTCTCCCACATACACCGCCGGCTGTTCCTTGCAGAGAGTACACGTGATCCTGTAAACCACATTTTTGGTCGTGCATCTCCCTGCTAAGCCACACTTACAGCAGTAGCACCCGCGACTGGCACCCGGACAGAGAGGAGGTGAGAAGGCTGACCTGACTAGCGCGTTTTTCAGTTTGTTTTTGTTTCGCCAAGCAAGTCGGATGTTCATTCCCGACCTGCGCACCACACCTTTCACCCGGCTCAATAATTCCTCGTCCACATATGGTAGAGTCAAGAAGCCATCTACATCCTCTTTTGTAGAACCCCGTTTAGTGCCCCCAGCTTTCGCTTCCCTTAGAGTTCTCCTAAGCACGTTTTCAGGGTACCCGTTGCTAGAAAGGAGATTCCACATTTTTGTCACGCTCTTTTCTTCCCTGTCCTTATTCGACGATACTGCTATGGCCCTTCTAAACTGGTTCCTAGCCATGCTAATTTTGGTCGACGACGGATGAGCTGAAGAGAAATGAAGCACTATGCCCGAGTTGGTAGGCTTAATGTACAGTTCAGTGGCCAGAAATGTGATGTCATTGTCAGAAACGACAGAGACCAGGGTATCTAGGTATGGGACCCCCGAGTCCTGCTTCGTGAACTCCATCGTGAATTTTACTGTAGGATGAAGTGAGTTCAAATACGCTAGGAAATCTTTCAGGGCTTCCTCCCCGTGGGTCCAGATTCCCCCGTAATCATCAATGTATCGCAAGAGCAGGTCGGGCTTAGCCTCCCTGTTTTGTAAAGCCAGTCTTTCCAGCCTGTCTAGGAAGAGGATAGCAACGGGAGGGGCGCAAGGGTTACCCATCGCGATTCCCACTTTCTGTTTGTAGAAATCTTTGTCAAAGCAAAAGACGTTATTCCTCAGACACTGGTCCAGGAGTGTGCATACGTCATCGGGTGTCAAACCGAACATGTTGATATCAGTAACATGCTCCTGCAACTTTTCCCGAACAGCCTCCACTGCCTCATCTAAAGGAATGGAACCATACAGGTTTACTACGTCTATGCTGAAAAATATGATGTCACTTGGCATCGTGTGTTGTCGCTGGTAGTCAGCGAGATGGTCCAAAAAATGTTTGGTGTCCCGTAGGTGAGTAGGCACATATCTCAGCAATTGGCTCAAAACACGTTCAATGAGACAAGATGTTTTCTCTGTTGGGCCTCCACAAGCTGAAATCACGGGACGAAGAGGGACCCCCGGACAGACAGCCGACTGACGACAGACAGCCGTCTGTCTGCTGTAACCGTTTTTGTCTTCTACATTGTTCTTTCTTTCGTTTGATAATGGTCTGTTGGCCGAAATATCACGTAAATAAAAAGGTGATTTTTCATTAATTTTGCTATAGATTCGAGGAAAAAGGTCAATGTTTTTCTTTCATATAATTGTATCTATCATGTTCCTCGCCAGAGCACTGGCAAACATTAATAAAAACGATTCTTAGATAATTCGAAGAAAAATGTCTCGGCTTTCCGATGATGCACTTAGCTTTGTGCTAGCTTTAGCAGAGTTTGTTCTACAGCGCTTCAAAAATCGCCCATTTGCATAGGACTTAAACGGGACTTCAAGACTTGCCCCCAGATGACGTCACGAGCTGACGTCACGATCAGGTAGAATCGCCGGACGACCCTACCTGGTATATAGGGCCTTGGTGTCCGCCAATTGCGGGTATGAATACATGGCGATTACTCGAACAGTGTCATTGTACACGGGGATTCCGAGCTAGTTCATCCTGATTTGGACTAACCGTGTTTTGCTTTGCAATAAGGTTTAAATTACTCGATAAATACGGATTCATTAGCAAGTTAGTTGTTTGAACACATCGTTAAAGTGAGTCAGAAAACTCAAACTGTGCTAACATTTTTTACAGTGTATGCATGACACCTGAAACCAAAATAATTTTGAATGGCAGAATCTAGGGGCAAGAAAGGTGCTCATGGATTTTGCAGATCGAGGTATCAGACAACAGTCTGGTCACCTCAAGCTTGCCCCCACTGGCGAAAATTCGTGGCGCCGCCACTGAAATTGAAACACCCCGAAATATGCTGCTGTGAGGCTGATATTCGTTGCTGCTGAATTCAAGATTACTTTACTACTCGCTGAATTGCCAGAAGTAAATTTGTTTTACTTTGAAGGGATTTGGCAGTAAATACACGTAGTCAAAACTTGGCCAAAACCTGCGCTTTGATGACAAAACTTGTAGCATTTTCTCGATCTTTTTTCGAATTGTTTTACAAATAAATGTAAAATAAACAGAAAAAATTTATTATCTAGAAGCCGCCAAAACCTACAATTATCTAGAAGCTTGCTTATGAGCTTTGCGCTGAATTGTAGATAACAACGTTGATGACAGGAAAGGGCGTGTCCCACTTGAGGAAACTCACTGCGGTTCTCATCAATTCTCATTCTGAGGGCTGTTCGGGTCCCTGCAGCATAGATCTGTGCTGCGTGCGTCATACTTGGGTGACGTCAACCGCCTGGCTCCGCCCACTCTCCGCCGGCACGCCGCGGCCGAGCGTCGCCGCAGCCTATTTCAAACGCGGCGAACCGTTGCGCGGGTGGACTGGTGATTGTCGCTCAAATAACGATTAATTTGCGTTCAAATGTGGTTATTAGCAATGTGCCACCGAAAAGAGTGATAATGATACCCAAAAAACAGCATACAAACCACTTACAATAAGAAATATTGGACAGTAAACTTAAATCCGCGCCACTTTCGCCTCCTGCAGCACCAAATTCCGTGCTGCAGGAAAACGAAGCATGCTTCAGTAGGTGACGTCACACAGGCGGTGACGCAGTGGTGTGGGCGGGACTAACAGGCGACGAAGTCCTCACTGCGCATGCGTGCTGCAGCATATTTCATTTTTGCTGCGCAGCCGAACAGCCCTCTGATTCAGCGCCATTGACTCGCCCAAGGCTATATAAACCAGGTAGAACGCTCCCGAAGAAAAAGTGGTGACAAGCGATATTTAGTTGCCGCGACCCTCACTTGTTCAAGACTATATCCGCAAGCAGCATTTACAAGCTAGCGGAAATCGACCAATCGGCGTTCGGCAATACTCAACGCTGATTGGCCCGTTGCTCGTGACGAAATTGCGGGGGACTGCAGCTACTCCCCTATGGCGTTTCATTGACTTATGACTTTTGAAGGGGATTTGTTTCAGTTTTTGTTGGGTTTGAGGCAATTTTTGAGCTTGGATATTCTTTCCGTGACCTTTGACTATATAATAACGACATTTAATCATGACATTTCTATATACTACCGGTGTCACATCGGCCAAAAAGACCGTAAGTACATGGGATAGACGGACCACTGCTGATGGGGCCACACATGCCGGCGTGTGGTCATCGGAGGCCCATGAGGGCTCGACATGGGCCCTTTATGGGTCGGTATAATAGGCCCAGTGGGTCCAGTGCATGCCTACCAGGGGCCGGTGGCATATAATGTAAGGCTGTCTCGGGACGAATTGAGGGCTCATGGGGGCCATATAGGACCATTAGGGACCACATAAGCCAATCAGGGGTCCATTTAGGCCAATAAAGGCGCTTCAGGGACTTGAAGAGGCCATTTAAGAGCCGTGGTGGGCCCATGAGGGGACGGCATTGGTCCATCAGGTGCAGTCAGGGGATGTTGTACGGGTTTCTCAGTGACCCATTTGGGCATATCAGTGACCAATTTAGACCCAGCAGGGGGCTTTGTAGACCTATCAGGGGCTGGTGATGGTTTATCGGAGGCCAGCGTTAGTCCATCGGGGCACGGCATGCCCATCAGAGGTAATTGCGGGCCCACGCTGAACAATGATGGCCCTTCAACGGCCCCTAATGGATCTAGATTGACCCATGTTCCATGATGTGTCATGTATGCCCCTATGGCAGGCCTACTCAGACCCCTGATGGACGTTCCCGGCCTCTGATGACCCTATACTGAATCCTGGTGGGGCTCTAAAAGTCTCCAATAACCCTTCTTCAGCCCATTATTACCATACGCTGGCACTAGAGGCCCCACATCAGCCGCAGGGCAGTCCGTGCCAAGACAGCATGTCTTTTCGGCCGATATTACATCGGTAATATTAATTAAAATCATGATTTTATGGTGCCATTATATAGCTAACAGTCATAAGAAATATATTTCAACTCGAAAACAGCTCGAAACAGCATATAATCTTAAAGAAACCACTCCGAAATCCAAAAGCCTATTCGGGTCCATAGAGAATAACTGCGGTCCCCCGCAATTTCGTCACGAGCGTCGGGCCAATCAGCGTCGAGCACTGCCGAGCGCTGATTGGTGGATTTTCCGCTAGCGCGTGAGTGCTGCTCGCGGAACAAGAGTTCGTCGACAATCCTCCACAAACGTCTGTCACCACTTTTCGTAATGCTAAACAGCCGGAGCGTACCCCCCTGGACTCGCCGATGTGATCGCATTCCTTGGATCGCAGCTTCTTACGTAGACTGACCAGAGTCCGTAAGAGTAAGTTCAAGAGCAGGGTTGAGCATATTTTGTGTACCTATGTTTACCTTTAATATTAAGTAATTGTGTGGATATGAGGCTATTTGTATGGTATTTATTTACTTAAGATTCACAGTGTGACTAATAGCTAATATTTCAGAGGGGTGTTCACGGGCACCGCACACTGCTGCGTGCGCTGTGTGCGGTGCGTCCAGCAGGCGTGGGGGTAGGGGATGGGTAGGCGGTTCTGACGTCACGGCTGCGTGCGGTGGACGGTCCGCTGTGGCCAGTCCCGACCGGCCACAGCGATCGCTGTGTGCGGTGACGGAAGGCTGACGTAGGGACGCAGTGGGCGGAGCTTGGAGGCTGTGTGCGGTCCGACCGCACACAGGAGGGCTGTTCACGGGCCCTGTGTGCGGTCGGACCGCACACAGCCTCCAAGCTCCGCCCACTGCGTCCCTACGTCAGCCTTCCGTCACCGCACACAGCGATCGCTGTGGCCGGTCGGGACTGGCCACAGCGGAGCGTCCACCGCACGCAGCCGTGACGTCAGAGACGCCTACCCATCCCCTACCCCCACGCCTGCTGGACGCACCGCACACAGCGCACGCAGCAGTGTGCGGTGCCCGTGAACACCCCTAGGGCCCGTGAACAGCCCTCAGTTAAAGGGACCCTCCCACCTTCAAAAAAGTTAATGAATTGGCATGAAAGTGATGTCGCTCGGTTCAGAAAGAGCAAAAACGAATATCTACCAAATTTCATCGAAAAATATTCACCGGTTTTCAAGATATTAGACTTTTACTTTTGTTTACTTTTTGGGATCTCCGCTGTTCCTAGCGACTTTATGTGACAGTGCGGCATTTGTTGCGCGCAAAGCAGCATATACCACCGCGTGCTACAAAACGTTTTAGTCAAACATTTAACGGACGTTCGAAAGCCTGATGACGTCATCAGATTCCCGTAATGGTTAAGAGATAGGGACCACGCTGGTCCCACCCTGCAAGTTAAGGGAAGAAATTTCTTGAACACCATAAAGCTGCGGGGGTTGCGACCAGGATAAATGGTGGTTTCTGAGCCTGGCCGCAAACTTGGCTATCTCAACTCAAAACTAATGTTAAGGTGGGAGGGTCCCTTTAAGGTGTTTAAATCCATTCAGAGGGTTATAGTTGGGAAATATCTGTGTCTCATGATTCCAGCCATGAATTTGCATGAATTCCAGGCTCCAGCCATTTTTCTCGAGCACTGCTAGGTGCTGTTACCATTGTGTGCAAGTTCTGCCTTGTCTCCTTGAGTGTATGTTTTTTTTCTGTATGCTCTTGATATGTTGGCTTAACAATGTAACTAATATATAATATAATAATAAAATTATATTATAATAATACAATATGTATAACTTTGACCCTGCATCCTCCAAAATCAGACCTCCACGGAGTGTTCAATGTGCCTAAATATGAAACTGTTTCTAGAAAATCTGGTTTGTGTTATACAATTGGTACAAAAGATATAATTTGCTAATCTTTCACTAACCTTTCCCCAGTAGGAATAATTCCTACTTTTTAGTTTATACTCTTAGAATACTTCATCGGGCACAGACCTCACCTTATGTACCAAACCTTACCATAACTTAACCTTAGACCTACTGAGCACCTCGCAAGCAGCACCCAACCTCGCAAGGAAGGTGGCATGTAAACAAAGAATAGGTACTTATATTCCAATTTGTGAGTTATTAGCAAGAATGAAATTCAATATGATGATCAATATTCAATGCTGTCATACCTTGATAGTGAAATAAGGCTCATCCAAGGTCCAAACTGTTATAAATGCCTATACTTTTCATGCCTTGCTAGTGGTAGCCTTGTGCTACCATAATGAATCTGTTAAGAATGTTTAGGAACTTTAAGCAGTCAGTGAATGAACAGGTCAGGACTGCAAGGGAAATCCATATATTGAGACTTGTTCTGAATTATTTTGATGACTTGTAATAAGACTTCCTACCTCATTCATATTTCCAGTTCATCTTGTCTGTTCCTGTACTCATCCTTATCACTTTGTATTGGTTTTGGCATTCCTTCTTGCCAATGTGTTTTCTTGATGCACACACCAATAACCATGTGGGATAGGCTGCATGGGCTACAAAACACTAAGCTTTTCATGCAGTCATACTAGTTAAGGCACTAATTTATCAATTCAACGCTTCTTGATATACAGTTAGATCAGTACTCTAAAGCAGTTTTCAATTCTTAGCTTAACCATTTCAAAGATCTCTAAGGGCCACTATAACATAAAAATGTGGAAATCATTTCCACACATATGGTAACTTAACCACTCTCATGACCAGCCCATTTTCTTTCTCTCAGGTAATGGCTGTGGCAGAAAAGCACAGTTTTGGCCTTGAGCCCATCACCACTCATGCCTGGAACTCAACAAGGAATAGTAAGTGTGGGTTGTGTGGATGTAGATGTGTTCATTTTTTTAATATACTGATATTTGTATCAATTAAATGTTAATTTTTCCATTATGCTCTAATTTGCTTTCTCCTCTTTCTCTCTTTTGCCCTCCCTCCCTTTCTCTTTCTTTCTTTCTTTCTTTCACAATTTCTTTTACACACACTCTCTCTCTCTCTCTCTCTCTCTCTCTCTCTCTCTCTCTCTCTCTCTCTCTCTCTCTCTCTCTCTCTCTCTCCCCCCCCCTCATCCTGCCATCATTAACCCTCCCTCCCCCTGTTCTTCACCAGAGGTGGCGCTGTCCCTCAACAGCAAGGACGTGGCGATCTACGAGCGGAGCGGCGGCGACTGGCGCCGGGTCGACCAGCTGGACCAGCACGACCTGCGCGTGACAGGCATCGACTGGGCGCCCAAGTCGAACCGCATCGTCACCTGCGCCGCAGACAGGTGGGTGGACGGTCAGGGCGGAGTTCTATAGCCTTGGGCAGAGCTGGTGGCTGAGAGGTATAGCTGAGGTGGTCGGAGTGCCACCGATAACCCACGTCAGGGTGCAGAGAGGAACATGATCTTATTAGGGAATTGGCTGGGGCGTGGTTCTCGAGTTTGTGATAAGTTTGCATCCGTTAGCATATCCCAGCAAAGACACCTCTTATACAGTCAGTCTTAAAAGTACCGCGTAACAGTGCGGGGGATCCATCAAGTCCGACCGCGGAAGGACTGCTAAATTTGAGTTACCAAATCAATGGACATCCTCGTACATTCCCCAGGTCAATTGGTTCGGTGACTTTCAAATCATAGCAGGCCTTTCCTCGGTCGGGCTTGATGGATCCATCGGTACTTTGCGCGGCACTTTTAAGACTGACTGTACTTGACTTGCTTGAGAACTAGCTTCAAAACGCAGGAACTATGATAAGATGTTTTTTTTTTTTAATCGTTCAACGTCCCGTGAACATCGCTGCATCCATAATCGGTAAATGAATATGCATGGATAAGTCTATATGCTCAGAGGCAAATTACTGAAAAATAGAGGCAAGTTCTCTGTGTTCCCAGCCGCAAGACCTTATTGGGCACCAAATGTTAAACGTTCTCGCCGAGAACTTCTCGGTAGGTATATCAGCTGTTTCCGACGCTCGCGAATTGCGGCGACTCGGTCGATAGTTTGACGGTCGCTAGTCACTACCCGTCGGCCTACGAGTCGTGCGTGCTTGCGCTGCCGTGGGCGGCACGGTATGCGGTTGGCCAACGCAGGCATTGGTGATAGCCGAGTTGGTATCCGATCGGAATGAGACTTTGAGTGTCAGAGAACTGCGAGGGATGCTATTGTGGGACGTTTGTGGCGCCGACCGGGCTGACTCAGTCGCGTCATATGTGCTCTGAGCAGGGTTAGATGAGAAGGATGTTTGAGGGATGATGGTGATGACATATTGAGTTGTGTAATATCAGATGACTATTCCTGTTAGCGTTCTTCATAGAACAACGCTTTGGTAATAATTGCAACAGGTATTCAATATCTGTGTGTTGCAGAAACACAAAGACATGACTATGAGGCCGCGCTGGGCATCACAGTATCGTCGTCAGTATGCAGTGCAGCTCATCTTCACACGTGGTACATCCGACCCTGTTGTTAGATGTTTCTGTTATGTTGTGTTTCGACTGTCGGTCTACCATAATCACGGGTCGTATATCCACAGGAATGCATACGTGTGGACTCAGGAGGCCGGCGGCAAGTGGCGTCCGACACTCGTCCTGCTACGCATCAACCGCGCTGCCACCTGCGTCAAATGGTCTCCCGAAGGTAAGAAAAGGACTATGCGCTATGGCCACCCGAAAATCCTGCGTCAAATGGTCTCCCGGAGGTGAGATCTGCTTCTGATTGCCCCTCAAAGCTCAACTCTGCGTTCTGTGATCTTCCGAAGCTAAGCTCTTCGTAGGATGGTTTCCCACAGCCGAGTTTTGCATTAACTAGTGATCAGATGTGAGTTTTGCGTCAAACGTCAGAAGGTTAGTTGTCGATCAGATGGCTACCAGGAAGTAAGATCCGTCTAATAATTAATGGTTTCCTGAACATGATCTATGAGACCAATGAACCGAAGGCGAGTCCTGTGTACAATGGCTACCCGGAAATCCTGTACTAAATAGTCTCTCGAAATGCGTGCTTCATTGTCATCCGTTATACATTGCGCAAGGGGACTGTTCAGTGTTCACGTGTCTGGTATTCAAGACGTTACTGAAGGTAATATGCATGATATGTGAAACGTCACGCTACAAATGTGATGTCAAAGGATAAGTGACTCTTATCACGCAAACATACAGAAAGCACCCAGCCGTAACCTTAAAGTTGTTTTAAGTTTTAACCTCTCTTCCAGAACCGTTCTTCTAGTAGCAGAAAGCAGCCTATTTCTTATATTACTTTTGATGGGTCGAGGGGCGAGGACTGTTACAATCACTTCACTGCCCTAAAAACACCGAAGTATTTTGCTGTGTGGTTCGTTCCTTTTTTGCGAGCTTACGGCTGATTTATGAATGTTTGGTACACTCGGGGGCAGATTGATGTTCCACCACTCCCTACCCATCGGGCTCCCATGGCTCAGCACTGGCTGCTGCCAGTGTTGCCTGCCATCAGCACTGGTCAGCACTGCCTGCCAGTGCCAGCGCTGCCAGTGCTGCCACTGGCAGCAGTCAGTGCTGAGCCATGGAAGCCCGATAGGTAGGGAGTGGTGGAACATCAATCTGCCCCTGAGTGTACCTACCTGATAACGGCTGATTAATGTTTTTGTGTTCCGTGACCTTATTCATGTTTCCTTAACACTCCGAGAAGATACCGATATATTGAACTATATTTGTTTATTCCATGAATATTTTTGAATTAAATGCGTCATGTTGAATGACGGTGAATTGTGCGAAAAAAACTGTAAGCTAAACGTCAGCATTACCAGTGGTTTTGGTCATTCGTAGCGTGTAGAAAACTTCTGCGTCAAAATATGGTCCAGCAAAAAGATGAACCGACGTAGATGAGGTCTAATGGCTTCCTGTTTGTTGCCGTGGCCTCCGGAAGAAGGGGTCGCTGATATCGGCGTACCTAACACAACGCCCATTCACGTCTTGTTTCGGTCAAATGCTGCCTTAGTTGATGATCCAGTGGGGAAAAATAGGAAACTACAAAAAATGAGCCTCGTGAATTACATAACGTTGAATTTAATGCAATTTACATTGTACAATGCAAGAAATTTATCACAGCAACAATGCATTCGTAAAGTCCAGACTCCAGTCACCCTTTTATCTTTTCGATGCGGATTAAAATCGTGATATGCTAATGCTACCAAGCCTACTAATTGTTTGTTCGCTTCCTCGCTCACATATAATCGGTGGGCTTCATTAGCAGTTGTTTTGTTTGTGGCGTTTGATCAGCCTGCTCGGCCGCGGCATACCAGAATGCCACAGGTGAAGGACAGGCTGCCAACGATAGCACGTTGTGTGCACGCGAGGTCTACCTTCAGAGCTGTAATTGCGAAACAGCTGCTCAGAGTCGGTGACGCTAATTGCAGACTAAATGCATTCGTTCGGCGGGATATCCCTAATGTATGCAGGCGGCAATGTGCCTTATGTAAGCGCTATAAATTCTCACGAGCTGTACAAATCTGTTCACACATTTTGTCTTATATTTGTCGCGTTTCGAAGTGAGCGGATGCATTACGCGTTTTTTTTATCATGACTGCAGTTATTTTTTCACGGCCAATACATCCCCATATATGGCCTTGAATACATCTGGCTGTTGCTTCATTGCTCACGTCCGTGCCTGTTTTCTAAGATAATGCATTAACGAGTGGCTCATTAAAAGAGTGGGCTGTTTACGCGATCAACATGCCTTTTTGAAATCTTCATAGATTATAATTACATCTTTTTATAAAATGTCACTTGGTAGGGCATTGTACCTAAGTGCATAGGTTACCTATAGTTACATGTCTGTCGCTAGCCGAAACATATATCAAAGCGTTGCAGCAGCAATTGCAACGACCCCGTATGAAATAGTTGATATGTATGCTTATTGCCGTCGCTATTTTCGGCGGAATGCCTCATAAGCTTTTTTTGGTATTCATATATACTCTTGGCTACAGGCGGAGGTCTATGGGTCAATAGAGGCATACGTCTGGTACTTGCCGCTGCTTTTAGCCTATTCAAAACGATGTCAGATGCGTATTGCAGTAATCAATAGGTACACATCAAAAAGGCTTGTCGGCCAAATGTTACATAATCTTCTTGGGATCCGGGTAATATCCCTTCTTCTCTGATAACCCTTTGATACATTTTTAATCACGTAGAAATCGTCGCTCTCCAATTGAAAGTTAACAAGCGCGTCTCGGTCGATTCGCGCAACATCGGCTCTCATACGCTGGTGCTTGAAAGTTTCCCAATGGTCTTCATTCCAAGTGGGGTGTTGCGAGGCGCATCCCTCCGCAACTGATGCCGAGTCCCGAGGATTAATCAACGTGAGCTCTGTCGGGTCCCTAAGAGCGTTGACGATGCCTAGGATAGAATGTAACTGGCAAAGTTTAGTCTCGTTGAAGATGTTTACATGGGAGTTTCATGTAAGTTTGTAATTGACTTTTGGATGACGTTTGTGTATCCGTTTCGTAACGTTGTGCTTGATGATATGATATGTTATTTTTTCTGCTCTTTCATCGTTAATTATTTTTGTATTTCATTAATTTTTTCAGCTTTTTTCATCTCACAGTACAGTCTACTGTTCTTTTACGTTCCTTCAAAATGACAACACAGTCAATTGCAATCAGGTTCATATCCTCATTCTACAATCATTTAGAAGTACAGCTAATTACACATACGATTTTACGCTTCAAACCCCTGTGCTGCCTACAGCGCGGTGCTAGTTTTCCTGGATATTTTGACATTTAGAGCTGACGCAGTAGCTGCATCTTAAACAACCAATACGATCGTCCTTCGGTGTCTAAGTATCACCTCGGGAGCGTCAAATTCTCATCAATTTGATTACACTCTTAATTAATACAAGTGAAGCAGTCTTGCTGTGTGAGCTTTTTGCGCTGTACCTTAAACTTAACTGCACACAGCAGTAAGCATCCACCTTGATTTCTTCGTTCAAATTACAAAAAAAAAAAACGACCAAAAGGATTCCAACTATCTGATGAGCCTACCGCCCAGGTGACGTTGGACTCACGGGCCGTCTCCGTTTCAGAGAACAAGTTTGCCGTGGGCTCCGGCGCGCGCCTCATCTCCGTGTGCTACTTCGAGCAGGAGAACGACTGGTGGGTGAGCAAGCACATCAAGAAGCCGATTCGCTCGACCATCACCAGCCTCGACTGGCACCCCAACAATGTGCTGCTGGCCGCAGGCAGCACCGACTTCAAGGTTGGTTGGCACAACGAGCTGACGAATGTATTTTTTTCTTCTTCATTTTGAGTACATTTATTTCTGGACGACGATTACTACTCGGCAATGTGTTGTAGACTTAGATTTATGTACTATTTCCACGGTGATTCTTCTGTATTTTTAATGCGTGCAGCTTCGTGTCCCGTTAGAAACTTCGGCACCCTGGTTAAGAACTTTCCAGCCTTCGGTGGCTGGTTAAGAACTTTCTGTATATAATGAAGGCTGATTGCCAAATGGCCTTTGTTGCCGAGGCGTCCTTACACCCAAACCATCAATTAAGGCTCGTTATTGGTTACCACGTCATTAGTGAAGAAAATGTAATGGCTTGCTAGTCGTATGGCTAAATTGATTCAGCAGAACCGCACCAATCATTCAGTTACCAAGCATAAAGCAGGAGTCCGTTTTTGCTCAAATGAACCTGCCTCACAATTATAACTTGCCCACGCCGGAACGGTGCTCCACGCAAAATAGTAACAGGCTGACCTTCTTGCACCGCTATTCCTTTAACCTGCCTCCTGAACTACATAGCAACAATAGGAAAGTCGTACTCGAAAGCTCCTAGACGATTCCGAAAGTACCTCGATTACTTTTAAGTTGAGCCACAGACTTATCTATGTTGAGCCAAAGGTAATGCTATCGTACGTCATGGAAGTCAACCGTACCCAACTCTGATGATTGTCCTCGATAAATGGCCTGGTGATTCTTTAAATTGTCCGGACATCGCAAAAGAAGGTATCTGATAATTTCTTTACAGACATTTTTTGATCATGTCGTGTTTGGCAAACGGTCTGCACAATGCCGTTAAGAATCACCAATGTCCAAATGTCCATTTTGATATGTGCTGTGGATGTGTGATTAAGAAATGTCTCATTTGATGGATTTGTTATGAACCTGTTATAGATATCGCTTATTGCCTAGCCAATATGCCTACCAGACTATATCACTGTTCAATATCAGTTCGCTGATTGTAATACCAATTAGCCAGTCTTTCTGAGCAGACGTTGCTTTCCATGACTGTTACTAACGTAAATGTTCTGCTGAACCTTTTGTGTGCATTTGTCGCAGTAACTGTGCGTAGGAGGCGGCGTTGTTAGCTGTTATAAAGCCGACAAAGCGGATCCCAGTCGCCCGGCACCGGTTCTGAGCCGAGCTGACCAACTGTGACCGTTCCGCGCCCGTAGCAACGGTCACCTCCAGGGTCGTGTGACGTCACGGTTAATGGCGAACAGCCGGATGTCGGGCAGAGTTTTTGTTGGTGTCTCGTTGGACTGACAGATTACCTCAGTGTATCGTTTCTGGTGTTCGGATGTGAACGTAAATTGGGCTGGATGTGTGAGATAAGTGGGTGACTCATGGATCTGCAATCATTTTGGCGCCTACCGATGCGCTGAATGATGACGAGAATCTCAGGTCTAATTCCTATAATTTTTCCTATAATTTTCCTATAATTTTCCTTCCTATCCTATAATTTTTTTCCCTATATTTTTTATAATGCTGCATTTCCGCTCAAATATAGCATATTTGATGAGGTCTCAAAATGATAGAAACTTTTTTACCGCCGATGCAACTTTAATATGATTTAATATGATTAATATTTGCAAATAGCATCAGCGAAACAGTGTCTTTCTTTTTATTTATGGCAACTGAAATATGAGCATTATTAACTAGTCAGAATTTGTAGAAGCCCGATCTATTTTTGCTGCTGCAATAACACTTTTCTCGATTAATTTTTGATATTTGATGCTTGCGGCTATTGCACCAACCGAGCTGGAATCCCGTATGATAGCGGAGTCCTTATTAGTGGTCTCTTGCTAGCTGACCTCGTAGGTATAATTTTTGTGCATCCCTTCGTTGATATCAGATCAACCCAAACCACTTTCCGTTCGTTTGACAGTCGCTAATGAAATGATGTCACCGAAATTTTATCGGCAAAAGTTCACGGAGATAATGGGAGGCGATAAGTGCTGATAACACCACCATTCCGCTTCAGTCGTGATTGTTATAACGAAGAATGCTTTGAAAAAATGTTTTCGAAAAAATGTTTGATGAGCATTGATTGATTTCGACTATTTAGACATAAGCGCTTATCTAACCGTCTAGCGATTTGTTCGCCTGAATGTGAACGAGCATCCAGAGGCGGATCCAGCTCAGAGTTTTTTAGGGGGGGGGGGCAAACCATAACAATTTATCGATTCTTTCCATGCATCGTCTATAGGCGTAATGTTAAAATTATGCCGTTTGGGGGGGGGGGCAAATGCCCATTTTGCCCCCCCCCCTGGATCCGCCACTGCGAGCATCATCGCGATGTGCACGCTGGAGATTTTTCCATATTCTGGATGTCATGTTTACTTTAGGATAAACACCTGGATTGAATTCGTATTTGGTATATTTCCTTCTTGCAACATGCTCACTGTCCAATGTGTAATCTCTGATCTTATTGACAAAGTAATGTTAACAGATTTGGTACTTTGTGCTGCGTGGCATCAGCGCTTACAGTTTTCTACTATTCTTCAAGGCTAGGCATCCGTAGGTATTCTGTGCCTTACATTGATTTTAAATCCAGGAAAGCGCACACTATTTGACCACCTTTGATATCAGCCATTTGATAATTTACGGAAGACGACAGCTCTGAACTAAAAAAGATAAAAAGGGATCCTTGTTTAAACTTAGGGTCTCATTCTAATTAAGATAATGATGAGACCAGCATTTCTGCCGAGACCGCGATCGCGTCACTCGCTAAAACAAAATGACCCCTGCAACGCTGGCTGCGTGTGTGGCGTCTGATAGATCACCGGCATCGTATGATCCACTGCTAACTTCTCGTTTTCCGTGTAGTGTTGCAGGTGTCATTACCACTGAAAATAGAGCTCGACCAGTGGTCTGGCTGGGCGTCGGATATTTACTGTTTAAATTCCCGGTTCGGCAACAACGAGCTTGTTGAAACGAATGTTATGCTCAATTCGATACCCGGTTCGAGTTGACAGACCAAATGCATTACCTCTATCGCTTTGTTGTATTGGTTTACTTTATTTTGGTACGGTGTTGAACCGCAAAAAAAAAACAAATACAACTGAGGCAAGAAGTGCTCTTGTGCTGCACTTGTCTGGAAGCTGGAAGACGTCATATTTCGACAAACCAGGATACAGTGCTTTGTTTTACGCATCAGCAAACTTATCTATAGTGATCACCGATGCGTGCAGATATAGCTGTATATAGACTGACCGTTTGTTATGGTCGATGTCGTACGGTCGTGTTCCTCGACCGTAGCTCCTTAGAATTTATCCTTCATGCCAATATAAATAAAAGGCTAGTGTTCTTCGTACGTCCATTGCGTAGGTCTTTGAGTGAGTATGTTGTTTGTACATATAAATCAAACAATTCTACCGCTCCATTTGTCGAAAGCTGTGTGTTAGATCGAGAGGATGTTAGAAAGAGTTGCTGTAAGATAGTGGTAGAGGCATGGCTTTAGGAAGCTGCTAGCACTGCTTATGAGCTACCATCGAGCACTCAATATAATCAATGTTGCGACCCTCCCCACGTCACTCGCTCGAACCCCGCAGCAGTACACCAGTCACCTCTCCCCATCCCAACCCCTGCAATAGTCTCGCCAGTCATCCCTTCCCACCCGAACCCCTCTGTTGACTCACGCCTCCCCACCCCCCCCCCCCCACCCCCTCAGGTGCGTGTGTTCTCGGCCTACATCAAGGACATCGAGGGTAAGCCGAGCGCCACGTGCTGGGGCACCAAGATGCCGCTGGGCCAGCTGATGGCGGAGGTGAGCGGGTCGGCGGCCGCCGGAGGAGGCGGCTGGGTGCACGATGTCCAATTCTCGGCGAGTGGTCAGCAACTGGCCTGGTGCGCCCACGACTCGTCAGTTAGTGTGCTGGATGCTGCCGATGGAAACAAGTGAGTGAGGGGAGGGAGAGAGAGAGAGAGAGAGAGAGAGAGAGAGAGAGAGAGAGAGAGAGAGAGAGAGAGAGAGAGAGAGAGAGAGAGAGAGAGAGAGAGAGAGAGAGAGAGAGGAGAGGGAGAGGGAGAGAGAGAGGAGGAGGGAAGGAGGAGAAGGGAGTGAAGAAGAAGAGAATGGAATGTAGGGAGGGATGAAGGGAAACGGGGTTGAAAGATCAGGGTTAGGCTGATAAGCAGGGAAGGAAATGAAACAGTGATCGGAAAAAGTTGGTCGGGGAGGTAGAGGAGGGGCGATAGTGGAATAACTGGACTGAGGAAATTGTGAGGTATGCGTTTTGTTTGACGCGTTTTGACTGGGGAAGAGCAGGGAGGACGGAGCAGAGTGCAGAGCGGTGCGGTGGCGGTTGTAAGTGACGGTGTTGTGGTCTAAATTGGGGCGAACCGGTCCATGTTATGGGTTGAGAGGGGGAGTGAATACTGAATTAGGAGACAGGATGTGGGCGGGAGGTCACATGGATTCTCCGAAATGTCTGCGAATGTGACTACCGAAGAGATGCTCCAGCCGTATCCCCGTGTTTTGAGAGCTAGGGAAGTTCGTACATTAATATGAAGTTGAAGCTCTTTCAGCGGGCTGTCTTGTTATTTTAATGCTGGATACACATTCGTTCCGCGACTGAAGCATTAGTTGTGAAGAACCTTTCTAGCATAGTAATGCTTACGAAGAAAGCGGGAGGCCCTTGCAGTTAATTGCTCTGAGAAATATGCTTCGCTCTTGTCGCTTGAGAATCCAAGCACTGAATGCACTACAAGTCATAAGCGTAATTGTTATTTGAAATTCAGTGAGCAGTTCGTTAAGCTAGTTTCAACGACAGAATTGCGGTGGAATTTCAATGTATTCGTCTCTTATGACAAGGTGCCCACTTCCCAGTCCATGCCGTTCCTGATTGCTATTGCTCCTTCCCGCACCTTTTAGTAAATCACAGAAAATAATCTATTTAATGTTAAGAAACCAGCCATGTACATTGTCCAACTTCTTAAAAATCTCCCGGCCTTATATAACTCGGCCGCTGGCTACTCGAGAAGGCCGTCTGTTACCCGGGGCCGCCGGTTCTTGGCACCGCTGGCCCTTGTCGCTGCCGCTGACGGCAGCGTTTCCGTCTGCCTTATTACCAACAGACTCCCGACCGTTCTTCACTCGCTCGCTAACAACCTATTGGAAAAGTGCGACGTACTCGGGGCTCGCCCGACTGCAGGTACAGCTTCTGGTGATTGGCACTTCTCAGCGGTATTGTGACACTCGCAGACAGCACCCCGGTGCCGCGAAAACGCACTCAGTTTGGCGTGTTTGCCGAGTGCTTGCTGGGCGTCTTATTCAACTGACAACTATCTGGGGAAATACTGTTCTGCGTCGCAGCAGCGTGAAGTTGAAGGATGTGAATTGCAGTTCACAGCTGATTGACTTCTCGTTCCATGCAATAGGGTGGTAATTTGAATTTCGTTGTTGATTTGAACGCTTGGTCTACCGTACAGTGGAACATTGGGAGCCCCAATAGGTATGTAGAACCACCATACCTTTCGTGGACATATTGCGCTACTGTTTCAGACTGGGCAATCTACTTTGTCATGATCGTCATATCTCGGGTGTCTTGCTGTGTTGCTTGAAGCTGTTTAAAACGGCAACATCAGCGGAATAACATCCGGGGCATCAGATCCAGTCGTCCTGTTATTGACTAAAGAATCTGACACATTTGAAGCGGCGTTAAATTGAACCTCGCGACCGTGAGCGAACTCCAATCCCGGCTCGAAAGTTTGCACCTGTGCGCTGGCAGGTACCGAATAGCCTCTGCGCCAACTGGTTGTTGATATTACCTACCGTCAGTGTGCTGTACTCATCCACTGTATGTCAGCTGTATGTCAGCTAGTTTTTTTTCTTCGGCTGGAACCTTGTCAAGTGCCCTAATTATTTGGCATTGCTGAATTCCTTATTCATTGCTGATGCATATTATATGCCATGTGAGGAAATTAGCCGTATTTCACCAAACGCGGCAAGGAGCTGGATACTTGGAACTGTTCGATTCCTTACATAAGACTCACATTTGATGTCATACGTACCATGACACGTTTGGCCATTAATCACGTATGATTAATAAGTTACGCATGATCGATGCGCCATTCGTCAGGCGTGCCCGCTGTTCCGCCAACGTGTGGTTTATCGGTACCGTCTGACGGTATCGACTATTCAGGAGCCTGTAAATCGGCAGGCATCAAAGTACCTACTTGGACTCAGCGAGCGTCCTAGGAATATCTGACTCAGCGGACACCAAAACAGCCTATACCAAGTAGCGTCCCAGGGTTTCTGATACAACGTCAAAGCAGTCTGGTCCAGGTAGCGTCCGAACCCCCAGGATTGACTATGGAACACCTAAACAGTCTGGCGCAGTTAGTGCCCCTACCCCCAGGACTGGCGTAATTAACACCAAAACAGTCTGACCTAAGTAGCGTCCCATTGAGGCTCCGCTACATTCAATCAACACCAACAGACTTAAGGCCGCCCCACACTGGAACTCGCATGCGGGTTGCGAGTTTTTGCGTTTTCGGGTTTATTTAAGTTCAAATCATACAATCTAAGCTGAGTGACCCACACTACCATCTAACAGGCGAGTCTGCATGTTTTTAGCTTGCGAGCGACCTTGCATCGCATTCCAATAGTTGATTTTTAGTCAACTTTCGATTTTACTCGCTGCGAGGTGTGCGAGTTCTGCGAGGTTTGCGGGTTTTTCGTTAGAGCCGAATTTTGGTTCGTTGCGCTGGTATTGCGACTATGTGTAATTTTCTGAAGGTGTACCGGCTTCACTGCATTCATGAAGTTGCCATAAAGAACGGTCTAATCACTCTATGAATTAATATTATGCCCGCAAACTCAAAACCCGCAAACTCGCAACCCGCATGCGAGGTCCAGTGTGGGGCGGCCTTTAGTGGTTTGACTCAGATGACCTCACATCACCCTCTGCCCAACCTAACATCACTGTCGGCTGTGTTTAACTGTAACCGTAGCAGCTCAGCAGTACTTACCTCTCCCCCTCCTCTCTCCCACAGGGTGATTACGCTGCGCACGGACCAGCTGCCATACCGCAGCATCAGCTGGGTGGGCGCCAACGCCCTGGTGGCCGCCGGCTACAGCTGCTGCCCCATGCTGTACGTCATCGAGGGTGACGCCATCAAGCTGGCCGCCAAGCTGGATCAGGCGCAGAAGAAGGAGGGCGGTGGGGTCAGGTGAGAGCCTGGGGACGGGCTGGTGAGAGACTGGGGACGGACCGCGATGGAGGCTGGGGACGGGACGGCGATAGACATGGTTCTTGTTTGTCTGGGGTAGGCCGCGGGGCCGTCGATACTGCTGGCTGTGGAGCCTGGGGTATAGGCTGTGGAGCCTTGGGTAACGGCCAAGTTCATTGCGAGCATATTCGCAAGTTCATTGCGAATCTGTATTAGCTGTCATTTTGAACTGAGTTACAGTGTGCGGTCTGGACAAATGAGCATTCGTTTCAGAATTCGTGCATTTTTATCCATCTGCATGCTTCACTGGTGGTATGTTTATGAACTGCTGAAAATGCAAGCTGTAAACGCTTGAAAACAATGTTTTCTAAACAGATCGTAGCATTACCATGAGGACACCAGACCGTCACGTAGAATATGCTGAAATGTTGGAATGTTACCTTTTAATGCCCGCGAATTTGTGGGGCAAGATGAGATTGTCGGCTTGGGAGCACTTCTGGGGCCCGGAGAACAAAAACAACTTGAGACACCACACACGGGAGGTTTTATTGAATGTGGAACACGTGATGTGCGTGCTTGTTTTTGATAAGTGTTTACCTACCCGAAAACACGTGATAAGCGTCGGGTGGGGATTCTGTGGGGATTCTGATATGCGTCTGACATTGGCCAAGCAGAATCCTACACAACGCCACTGAGATCGGATCAGACAGCCCGACGGAGGCGGATTCGAACGCAGCTGGATATTGCTTTTGGGAATAGATGGGGCAGAAGACTATCCAATGTCCATCCGTTTGATTTTCGTTGAAGCGTGAACGCTGGACATAACATAAACTTGTCACGGTGGACTGGTCATTGCCTTCGATGACGTCACAGATTCACAATATTAACGGCAGCAGCGCAGAGCATGCTTATATATTTCGGGCTCCACGGCCTTATCTTACTCGAGGGCAGCGCTTTTCGAGGAGCGCTGTGGCCCGAAGGTTTGGACTTTGAATTGTGAAAAACGCCCGCCCGCCGGAAAACGCAAACACCGCAAAACGCGCAAAACGCACGCCCGAAACGCCAACGCAAACGTCGCAAAAAATAAACAAACGCCCGCCCGCCGCAAACCGCAAATAAAAAACGCAAAAACGCCGCAAAACAATAAAACCGCCCGCCAACCGCAAACAAATTTAACACCGCAAACGACGCAAAAAAAAGAAGAAAACCGCCCGCATCGCCCGCCCGCCCGCCCGCCCGCCGCCAAAGACAAACACCGCAAAAAAACACAAAACGCCCGCCCGCCGCAAAACGTAAACACCGCAAAACGTGTAAAACGCACGCCCGAAAAGCCAACGCAAACGGCAAAAAATCACCCGACCGCCGCAAACCACACAGAAAAAAACGCCGAAACGCCGAAAAAAATAAAACCGCCCGCACCGCACCGACGCTAACTGCTAACCGAAAACGACTAAAAGTCGCCCGCCAGCCGCCAAACGCAAACACCGCAAATAAGCGCCCGGCCGCAGCAAGATAATAATTTATCAGCGGCTGGCATACCGCTAGGCTGGTCATTTTCACAAATCAAAAAGATATCTGCAAAAATCTCCTAGATGAAAGCGCCCGATTAAAAAACGGATGGCACGTGCGTGTTCCTCGCCCCCAACTTCCTTCAGGTCAATCGTCATTTGGGTCATCTAACGCATTGACGTATCTGCAAAAATCTCCTAGATGAAAGCGCCCGAGTAAAAAACGGATGGCACGTGCGTGTTCCTCGCCCCCAACTTCCTTCAGGTCAATCGTCATTTGGGTCATCTAACGCATTGACGACCGGCTGGGTGGAATGAACATTGCGCCAAGAAACGTAAGTATATTGTCAAAAAGAATCCCCAGAGTGGTGGATCCCAAAAGTTTGAAACTACCACTTTGGCCCACTGGACGACACCTTAAACAGTTGCCGACCGGATGACACCCATTGTTTGGTCACCCACGCCATAGTATGCATCATGGGTGCGCCGAAATGACCAAAAGTCCCAATTTCCGGTGTGCAGGGTCATTTTCAACGGCACGTGGCACGTGGTTCTGGACTTTTCCGGCCACTTTGCGACATACCCATGGGTAGTGCACCGAATGGTGGTTGATCTGCATGTAAGAAAATGGGGGGTCGTTTGGATCGTTTTCGAGCAATCTGCCGTGGAACGCATTTTTTCATTTTCCCCATTGGCTTAACACGGGAATTTTTAAAGTCACGTGGCACGTGCACCAGATGGTCCGCGGAGGGGAGACCCATACCAGAACGTAGATCACCTGGCCCACTAGAAATCCTGAAAAAAATCAGAATATTTGGACCAGCCGTTTTCAAGAGCATCAAGTTGTACTGATCTCAGGCAGCTTTTGCCAAATTGTCAGGGAACTCAGATTTGTTTTTCAATAGAAAAACACAATTCTAAAGAATAGTGTTTTAACTATTAACAACAAACCTTCGGTTATGAATGTTGATTTGATGTTTTAACAGATGGGCGCTCAACAACAGCATTAATCGTATTTATATTTGCCTTTTTCTGAATTCCTTATTGTTTGTGACAGCGACTCCGATTTTCCGTCAGCAATAAATGCCGGTTTAGTTTCGTCAGGCAATATTGCTAATGCGAAATAGCTGGGTAGTTGTGCTCAAGCGCTCTTTCACGAGCTGATTTATTAGGACAAACAAAGTTTTTAGAGAATGCAAATAGGCGAGATATTGCCCTAGGTCCACAAGCTGGGAGAGTCCTCACATTACAACTTATTAAACTATCATTTTTTGGCTGCCAACTTTGAAGCATCTCGCTCAGCAACCGCGTGTCCCCGTGAATGTTTCGTAAGCTGTTCTTTGTTTTATCTCTTGAGTTCTGAGATTCTTTTAAATGTTTAAGTACGAGGCAGCGTCAGATTTAGTGGCCAGGCCCCTTCAAAGAACTTGCTCACTCGTACCCGCAGGGAAGGTAGTACGGATGCAAAAATTGTTGAAGTTGAGCTGTGTCGTCAACCTTAGTTAATGACGATAAAACTGACTTAAAACTGTTACATAATATGTCGTTTATGGCTTATGAGCTTGGTATTGCGGTGCCATACTTTCGCTGTAAACGCAACGAGAAGTTCTCCTTCCCTACCTCTGTTTTTTCTTTCTCTCTCCCACGTCTCTGGCTCCAAGATTACTTTACCTCGCTGGCTCTGTCTATTCTCTCTTTTCTCTTTCTCCCCACCTCCCTCGCCCGGGCGTTCTCACTATCAAGTATCAAGTATCAGCCTCTCCTGACGTGACCACCGCCCGCTCTCTCACCACACTCACCTCTCTCCCCGCAGCGCCATGCGCAAGTTCCAGTCGCTGGACAAGCAGTCGCGCTCGGACGCGGACGATACTTCACTGGCCACGCTGCACCAGAACTCGATCTGCGTGACGCGTGTGTTCGAGGGAGACCGCAGCAGCGCTCGTCGGATCAGCACCAGCGGCACGGACGGCCTGCTGGTCATCTGGGACGTTCAGGTTAGTGGCAAGACGGTCTGCGACTGCTAGTTATGTCCAGGCTAGTGGGAAGACGGCCTGCTAGTTATCTGGGACGTTCAGGTTTTTGGCAGCTCGGCCGGATGGTGATATCATGGATGATATAACACTGGATTGGTGTCTCGTGGAAATTAACATTGGGATCCGCGACATTGGGATCAGGCCTGCCATCTAGCGAGAGAATTATCGTAAGTTAGGAGCAAGCCGAGTGAACGCCATCTCTCAGCATTATGACACACGTGGGTGTGGTGTGTTAGTTGGCTTGAAGTGCATATTCCCACGAGTTGGAGGTAATCTTACTTGACCTGAGACGACAAAAAATGTCTTAAATGCTTGAAAGCCAAAAACGTCAAGCAGCCTTTAGGTAATAACGAAAATAAAATGCGTAAGACGGTGTGTATTGAAACGCCCAGTCCGATCGGCTTGTACGACCTTTTATGTGGTCATTTACTCATAAGGGTACAGCAGTTTGACAATATGTCATACATATTTGTTAGGCTTATTCATTCTTCTCCGAATTTCGCCCGATTTTCTTAATCTTAGTTAATGCTCCCAGCCAGCCATCCCAAATGGGGCCCACATGGGCTAGAAGTGGGGCATCTGGGCGAATGTGGGCTGGGCTACATCTGGGTATGTCATGGGCGTCCAACTGGGTCCCAGATGGGCTAGATGTGCTAACTTTACGTGCTGGACTTGGCCAGCGCCTCCACTGTGCCGCTAACCTGCCTGATCTGTGCCGCTACCCTGCCAGACTCCTGATCTGACAGCCGCCTGGGCACACCCCTGCCCGCGTCCCTGCGAGGTCGGTCGCTGATACTGTGTCGCCGGCGTTCGTTGCAGTTGATGACTATAAATAGACGCAATACGGCGCTGACGGACCGGTCGGGCCTCTACACTATCGTTACAAACTCTTCCCCTTTTTCACAATAGGTACGCATCCACGCTTCCGTTCTCTACCAGCCGCCTGCCGCCAACCTGCAGTGGTACTGTAGTGTAGTGGTTAGGGTCCCCGCATCATGTTCCATAGGTCTTAAGTTCGAATCTCTGGGGATCTAGTGAGAGGCAAAGGGTACGCGGTTCTCCCACGTGTGAACACATTGCTTTTTGGGATTCACGCGGAAATAGTGGACGACATAAGCTAGGTACCAAATCCCAATTAAATTCCATGTGCGCTTTTTGCATGTGTCCGTCTGAGTCCCAACTGGGAAAGCCCGTGTGGGACCCATATATATGCATATATCCCAGCTGGGTCCCATATGGGCCCCACTTGGGCTGCCCATGTGGGTCCCAACTGGGAAAGCCCATATGCGGGCTCAATACGGGCCCCAGATGGGTCCCACATGGGCCCCGTCTGGGGTGCCCAGATGGGACCCAGTTGGACGCCCATGACATTCCCATCTGGGTCCAAGGTGGGCAGCCCAGATGGGTCCCAGTTTGGAGTCCACTTGGGACCCATGTGGGCCCCACTTGAGAAGGCTGGCTGGGCTACGACACGGGCCACGGGCCAACTTAGGGGTGTCGAAATTGTTCCACATAAAGTAACTCCGCAATGGCTGGGCCCATTACAGTAAAACTTCGCCAATAGTTAGGCACCCAGTGGCCAATGCATTTCCATGTGTCACTATGGGGGGTGCTACAGCACGTGCGCACGTGCGGGGTGCCGCAGCGCCGCTTCCATATCTCAAGAACGGCTGGGCGGATAACACTCAAACTTGGTACACAAATGTCACATCGATGCTCGCACTGCATTGATCAGTGCTTACGTTGGTGCAGAGTCATTAGGAAAACGATGAAATGAGATGCGTGGTGTTATGTCTTTCTGTTCCAGCAGCTGATTGATCCGCAACAGGAGATCCCTGTTTGTGAAGGCTTCGTCTCCCTTTTCCATTCCTTGTTTAAAATAACATAACAATGTACGAAGAAGATCACACATCAAAGTTGTTTTAGGCGGCTATCTTGGGCCAGGGCTGCGGAGTTGAAGTCAGAGCCAGCGGTTCTGTTCCGACTCGGAGTCGGTTGATTTTTAAAAGCTGTAGTCTGAGTATGAGTCGAACGTCACCGAAAAGTCATCGACTCCACAGACTTACCAGGGCTGCAGAGTCGGAGTCAGAGTCGGAGTCTGTGTGAATCGATAGTTCTGCCCGGAGGAGTCGGAGTCGATATTTGAATACCGGAATCGGAGTTGGAGCCAAAGTCACTGAAATTTCATCGACTACGCAGCACTGGTTGGGTCCTTTTCATAGAGCGTCTTGAATTACATATTGAGCGGCAATGACGTTAGCAATTCCGTTTAACTTTTTCATTATACTTATAGATAGTAGGTATTCACGTTCGTTTTGTTCTTTGATCCGGACAATTTGTTTGATTTAGGCCAAGTAAAGTCTCATATGAAAAATAGCGAAAACGACACGTGCTGGCGAAGTCTCCAATAACTCCCTGTTTCACGAATTAATGAGGAAATAACATGGAACTGCTTATCTTATTACTGACCCTGCACATAAATCTATTAATTTCTTCGCCTTTACTGACATATAAAGACATAACCTGTTGAAAAATTGCACAACAAGCCTGCTACTACACCACACTCCCGTGTGTCACAATGCTAATCAGCGGCGTTCACTCGGCTTGCTCCTAACTTACGACAATTCTCCCGCTAGATGGCAGGCCTGAGCTCAATGTCGCCAAAAACTGCGAAGACACCAATCCATTATTATCTCATCCATGGTGATATTAACCTTCCAGGCGGTGGGGGGGGGGGGCAATTTTTTGCCCTCCCCCCTTTAGTTTTTTCGATATATCTCGAGAACCGCTGCGCCGATCGTCACCAAACTTTCAGTACCCTCCCGGGAGCAGCTAGCGCACATGGTGACCAAAAATTTTTCCAAAGGCTACGATAGGTTGGCCGCTAATGACGTCAGAGTGACGTCATTTTTGCCATTTTCGACCCAAAAAAAGGTTTCGCGGGAAGAGCTGTCAGGCCTACAGCTTTAGAGATACAGAAAAATGTTTTAGACATAAAAGGTGTGGAATTAAAAGAGCTACAAAACTGCTATTTCGGTTTTCCGAATTTTTTGGATTTTGACCCCCAAAAATCAAAAAATAGTTTTTTTGAATATAATAGCCAAAAAATCCAAAAAGTTTTTTGAATTTCGAAAAAAACGGAATATATGTGATAGCCCCTACCGCCTTCTATCTACATACCAAATTTGAGATCGATACCTCTTTTTTTGGCCAAGTTATAGCGAAAAAACTGTTCAAAATTGATGACGTCAAATTTTCAAACTCAATTTTTAGCAATTCTAGACCTCGTAGCGCAAAACAAAGACCACCATTAGACTCCCCGTGACGAGCTGCATCGAATCGATACCCATTTTATGCAAAAATATCAACTTTGAAATTTGACCTTTTTTGACCTGACCTTGACCTGACCTCCACCAGAAAGTGACCTAAACCGTACCTGATGGTCTTATAACCAACACCATTGAGTTGGAAATGAAAAACTGGCCATAAAACATGCATCGCATAACCTTAGTAAAGTTGGGCTCATGTGGTGACCCTTGGTGACCTTTGGTGACCTGACCTGTGACCTGACCTGGTATGACCAGTGACTTCTAATAGCAACATATGTACTAGACAACTGGCGCCTTATCGCTGATTTTCGACAAAATGCGTTTTACTCGGTGTTATAGCGCTTTCCCTAGAAGCCCCGTGAACGGTGAAACATTTTATCTTTGACCTGACCTGTGACGTCATCGGTGACCCCGAGGTCAATTAAATTTGGTTTCCCTCGACAAATTTGACAGGGCTATCGAACGCCGTTTGAATTTTCCGGATCCGTCCAGTAGTTTCGGAGATACGGGGGGGGGGGGCAAAAAAGTGCCCCCCCCCCCACCGCGCGGAAGGTGGCTGGTAGGCCCACCGCCTGCCGGGTTAAGGTTAGTGGCAGGACGGACTGGTAGTTATATAGGACGTTCAGTTTAGCGAGGGGACGGCCTGATGTTTATATGGGACGTTCAGGTTAGTGGTAGGACAGCGGCAGCAGGGGTGAAGGGAATGATACACTGTCGGTGAACGGTGAATAACATAACTCAGAAACTCGGTCTGTGATCCGCTAGAGCTGCTAGAGCTTGTTTCGCCCTCCCAAAAACAACGTTCTGTTTCGTTAGGCTTTTGAGTAATTATAAAAATGTCTCTTGGTATGCAATAATTAACAAGTAAATTAGGAGCAAGGCACATCCGGAATCACAGTTTTCCATAAAACGGGACCAGTCCCCATCAGCTGTTGACTGTGGTTAGAAACGTTTGGCACTGCGGGACGGTCTTGGGCAATGGGCGCTCATGTTGCTCATTGGCGTTTCATTGGGAGATATTATTGGGCTATTGGGGGAATGAACGGGAGGCCGTCTGTGGTTTGGTGTACGTCGGGCAAAGTATGGCGTATTCACTATTCATAGATCGGTAGTCATAACTTGCTCCAAGAATGTTTGACATTTGGAATAGAGGCAAATAAGGCGCTCCCCAGTGGCGGGCGGGTCGGTGAGCCGGGACGGGAGCGGCGCAGAGGTCAGCGTCACGCCGCCGCGGGGGTCCTCAGACGTGCGTCACAGCCGGGCGTGACGTAACGACGAGGAATTACCAGTTATAGATGTGCAGTGACAGATCGCTGATGCGTAGAATTGATATGGTGTGGCGATGGTGGGTTGTTTGGTATTGCGCTGCGGGACTGGGGGTGATTGCGGCGAGTTATTGGTGTGTGATATCCGTCGCTGTTGTGGGTCGGCTGACTGTGACTGACTGTGACTGGTGGTCTGTTTCAGTCTCTGCAGTCGTCGATGGCCGGACTGAAGATCAAATAAGGGAACAAATAAGTGCGGCCGTCACTGCGTATCCGACCAGCGGTGACGGTCCAACATTCCACCGGAGCCAGCGCCAAATGAAGCTCCACCATACCCGATTTGAGCCTTTTTCTAATCATAATCCAGACTTTTGTATCAATGCTTAAGGTCGGAAAATGGCATATGCGCCTTGTGTTATACGATGATTAAAGCAATCTTGCTTGACAAGTGCAGACAGCTTATGAGCTGTCTAGGTTAATTCGCTGCTTTTCTCGGTACAAGCTGACTTGTGAAATATATTTGCCTTGTGAAATTTGTTTTTCATCCGTAACATGCTTGTTCTATTTTGCGTTGTTATGATGGTATAGCTAACTTTTTACTGCAAAACACTGTCGAATGCCTGATAATCGCAATATTAAGCATCAGCAGTGCATCGAAATAACGATTCTTCAATGACGCGTTAGCGATTGCGAAGTAGAACGGTATTTCAAAACAGGCCGAATCAATTATCTTTTGTTCATAACAACATAACGCAGTAAACCCTGAAACAGTCGGAATGCGAACCGAGCGGGAACGAACCGAATCCGTAATGCCATGTGCAAGGTGTGCGAATCGCAAAACAACGTCTTACGCATCATCATGCACAATTGCACAATCACATACGAGTAGCAGATCATACTATTGGGCTGTTGGAGCTACCGACTGTGTATGTGTTCTCGCTACTAGCGACTTAGCGAGTCACTTGTTCGTGTCGACTCATTGAAATTCATTCATGCCAGCGGATAAACTAAATAAGTGGGCCGATGTACCACACCTTGAAAGAAACTGCTTTAGGATACGGCCGCAGCCGGAGGCATGCCGATAGATCCTTTTAAAAAGTTAAAGCATTTCATCGAGCACAGACCAATGAAGTTTCTTTCATTTTGAATTTGCGTTATAGAACTTCGTTGATTAAGTCAAATGTTCATGATGCAATGCCAATTGCGGTAGTCTGGGAGGCATCTATGAAGTTAGTTCAGATTCCTCTCTATGCATGAACCAGACACTTACGAATATCCACCGACTCGTGTGCCGGTGGAGCGTAAGGAACCAGCAGACGGTGCGCACTACACCAGCTGCACCAACACACGGCCACGCTTCACCAGCTGCACCAACATGCAGCCAGTGATCCCGGGGAACGTTAACGCTTCCCGGCCGGCGGCTCAGGAAGCAGCCGCCTGCGCGTCTGGCCCAGACCGCCACGGGGGAGCGCTCCAAGTTGGGAGTTTCAAACTGTTGGCTCACCGCTCACCATATGGATGGCTTATACTGCGCAGGTTGGGTCTAGTATGAATATGGACTTAGGTGAGTCGGCATAACTTTGAGAGCATAGACAGGATATGCAAATGGTGGAGGATCTACCGCGGCATGATAGAATGGAGTAACTTTTGACATGTGCGATGACAGAGGGATGGTTATGCGACCCCTTCGCTTCCACATGGGTACACCTTGTGCTGCATATTTTACGCACAAGTAAAAATTTTAGGCCCAGGTTACTGAAGGACAGGACACAAGGTCGCATTAAGTGACATATATTTAAGAAAGCAGTACCTAAATGGTTACCCCGTCCAATCCACTGAACCAAGATTCTTCTCTTCCGATATTTGTGATCTAGCAGCTAATAACTAGGACTCTAACCCCGAGGTTTCATGAAATAATTTCACTTTACCAATACCATAGACAATTCGGCGTTTTTCTGAGCCCCCCCTCTCTCTCTCTCTCTCTCTCTCCCTCTCTCTCGCTTTCTGTCTCTGCCAATGTTTAGGTTAACTTGCATGTAATAGTTGCGTAATTGGCTTTGTTTTAGTCAAATGTACAATGTACATATATTACGGCTCTCAACCCTCCCACCATCCCAGTAAACATGCCGACGTCGGCCCGGTAAACATCCCTTTTGGGCCCTCGCCTCGTGTTCCAATGACTAGGGCTCGAATCCCGCCGCCGGCCGAAATTTTTGACACGTAGGGGGACGTCGGTTGGATGTCGGATGAATGTCGGCTGAGTGTCGGGTTGACAGCGGGAAGATGTCGGGCCGACGTCGGCCAGACGTCATCTCGGCTCAACCTCTCGGCACACGAGCTCGGCCCGACGTCGGCTGGACGTCGGTATACACGGACGTACCCGATGTCCAGCCGATGTCGGGCCGAGGTTTGACCGACGTTGGGCCGAGCCTCGGCCCGACGTGGGCATGTTTACTGGGATCTAAAAACTACATGGTTAATCGCGACCAAGTCAGTTGAGGTGCTTTTAGCAAGCCTGAACTTTTAATCCGTTGTTTGCTTTCGGTTGCATCATGCATGTAACTTGTGCGCATTCGTTCACGCATCTCAAGTCGGTTACGTCTTACGTAATACGCCAGTCTTCTGGACCAATATTGACTTGGGGTAAGAACTAAGAACGCTCGCAGGTAATCGGAAGTCAGAACGTCGGACATATGCAATTACGGCAGAGCCATTCGGTAATTAATTATCGGTAACACGGTTGGGCGAGCGCTGGCAAAGCAGAAAGACGAACTCGTATTGCATTGCAATATGCAATATTTTACTGATGCCAGTAAAACGTCTCAATGTAAATAATGCAGTAAACCCAGCAGTTTCGGCCTGCCGTGTTTTAACTGCGTGAAGTGGATGCATGAACTGTGTTGTAAATTGAGACTGCCGTTTTCGTTGATTCGTGGCTTGTTATAGAGGGACATCTAGCGCTACCTCAGCTGCACTGCAGCCAGTGCCACTGATCAGCTGCAAAGATGGCGCCCAGAAGCGATAAACTCTGCCTTAAAATTGGATCACGAGTCAATTACGGCAATTATGACGCCTCGTTTCATAAAGCGAATCCGTAGCTTACGGCGGTTTTTGGTTTTGTATTGCAAGTGCACGTGAAACGATAAATTAATTTCCCCTTCTCCTTTCTGTTCTTGCTTGCAAGATAAATAAATTCAACTATTCAAACTAACGTCATCGTGTCACATGCACTTGCAATACAGGACCAAAAACCGCCGTAAATTACGGACTCGCTTTATGAAACGAGGCCCCCAAGATCGTGAATTACAAATAATTTAACATTTTCACCTTTGACTTGAGCTTGACCTATAGGCAAGCTCAAGGTCAAATAAAAAGGGCTATAACTATGTGGCTTGCTGTATGATAATTATCAGGCATTTGCGTCCTATACAATCCTTATGTAGCGTTCTATTTATGATCACCTTCTATCCTCATTTATATGCGTTGTTTCCCATTTCCTATATATTTATAACTATGTACTTGTGATTCAATTTTGCAGTTCTCATCTGATCCCGCTCCTTTTCTTTTTCAGCCTGTAATAAAGCTTAGTTGGTGTCATACGTGGGACGGAGCATGTTCACCTCTATTGACCTTTGGCCGAAAACACCTTTTGTCGAGACAAGCGCCCAATTCTGTGAAGCCCAGCTTGTCTCCACGGCTACACAAATCCTACGGTCTCTGTTCAATATTGTTCCGTTCATTAAGCACGACCCAGAGACCGTGTTCCAAAGGTCAAGTGCTGCATGACGGCTCCACTCATACGGTGTCAATTCGTCACATCTTCGCCCGAGCGCGAGTGTCATTATTTTGATCGGGATAACATCGGCCGTTTTGCCGACCCGACCGAATGAAATGCCGGTGAACTCGTGTGGATGAGACTCCACTCGCGCGAGATTGACCAAGAATCAATTCACGTACTAATACCAGTAAAACGCCTTTTGGGCGAAGAACGAGCGAGCGAGATAGTGAGCCCTGCACGTGCGGAAGGGCGAGAGGGTACTTCCAACGGGCTTGTGCAAAGCACCCTTCTGACCGGTCGCTAGCGGTGTGCCAAATTTGAACGCAATCGGCCCAGCCGTTCCTGAGATCTGGAAGCGGCATTCTGCACGTGCGCACGTGCAAACGGGGTCCAAAATGACTTTTGCACCCTACTTACCGGTCCCCAACCGTGTACCAAATTTGAGCGCAATCGGTCCAGCCGTTCTCGAGATCTGGAAACGCCCCCTGCACGTGCGCACGTGCAGTAGCACCCTAACCGCAACACATGGGAATGCATTGCCTGGTGGGTGCCTACCTGTATGCCAAGTTTCAGCGAAATCGCCCCAGTAATTACCGAGTTACTGAAATGGGAACAAATTTGGCACCTCTTCTTTTTGTATTTTGCACGTGCAGTGGGGGTCACTCACATAGATCAAGAGTATCCGACCTTTGGTAGAAGGGATGCAGCTACCCTATAAAAATTACCGCAAGACAATCGCTCAAGCCGCTGCTGAGATATGGGCCTCTCAAAATCATTACTTTTGCAAAACTGCTTGAACACCCTTGACTTTTCACGTGGCACGTGCCACGACGGTCACTGAGATGTATCAAAAGTAGTCAATTACGGGGTAGAAGGGATGGGGCTACCCAGCAAAAAAGACCGCAGGCCAATCGGTCCAGCGGTTGCTGAGATATAAGCCTCTCAAAAGCGTTACAGGCCGGGCCGGGCCGGGCTGGGCCGGGCCGGGCCGCTCATACTGAGATTTTTCCGTTATATTGAAAAGACTTCGCTTCGCTCGCTGCGCTCGCTCGCTCGTAACTAGCCGAAGTCGAGAAACATCTCCAATAAGCGTTTTCTAGCCCATCTGTTTTGTTAGCTGCAGTCTGAATGCGATGATCTGCATGACCGAATAAAATCAAAATAGTGAGAAATATCTCACCCCAGGTCCGCATTCCGTTCTGTATGTTATGCCTAACGATGATTCGCCTGGATAATTTCTCGGCAGAACTGGTATCATTACCACTCAGCCAGGAGCTGTTTGTTACACGTCCACCTTTGGCTGGTTCATATTTCAGAGACACGTGGCACGTGGACTGATCGGCACGTGTCTCCGGTGAACTAGAACGTGAGAAGCGATCACGCTGTGTTTCGGCGTAGAGTCGACTATGTGATGTGCTGTCATCCTTGGCACGACCGCAACAAGCAATAACCAAACCTGAGAATCGAAGGTCCAATTAATCCCTTCCGAATATGTGGCTCAGACAAATAATCATGTTCCTATAAGCGATGAAAGTAAGTGAAACGTTGGTGATCATCTTTTCAATAAGACGCGTTCTAAGGAAAGGTAATACATCAAGTTGCTCGGAAATGGCTGCTGGCACATCACATGGTTACGAACGATTCAAATGATATTATAATCATTTTTTTACCAAAAGTCGGTGCCACTACAAACCGGGCGCTCCTCCCCCCCCAAAAAAAACGTCTCGAACTTTGAGGCTTCAATGTAAGAGTGAT